GACAACAAATATAGTGAATCTTCACTTGGAAGTTTTAGGTAAGTTTTATGTCGAGTCTTTTGCGTATAACATGTAGCAGACACTTACTTCGAACATCAAGAAAGCGGAATATGGAAACGATGGGGTTGCGCTTTGTTTAGCAAGAGAAGTGTTGGCCACAGTGGTGCTTTGTTCTTACTAGGGATGAATATGTTGGGCGGGTTTTATCAATATTACTACCAATACACCTGCTTCCCACATATACAATTGCTTATGTTGAGTAAGAGCATTTTTTGCTGAAAGCAGGGGGCATGAGACAGACTCCATTGAACCTCTATACCTGTGATGACTTCATATGTATATGTCTAAACAAGCTCACTCCCTTTCCATTCCCAGAAAGATTTTGCGGACTGGACTTGAACTGATTCAGTGGGGAGTTTGCCTTTTTGTTTTATTTTTTTTGTTGTTGGTTGTTTGGTGTGATGCTTCGTTCTTCTGTTGTATGGGCGCGCCTTGTGCGTATTGAATAAATAAATAAATAAATAAATAAATATGTTGCCGAAGTGGCGTTTCCATATGAAGTCTACATTGTCTTACAGAGCATGAAAGCTAATTCCAAATTTGTTCTCGGTATCTGCAAAGCCCTTCTGGGAGGGGATTGGAAATTTTTTTAAACTAGAAACTCAATAATTTTGCTAAGGTAAAAATAGGTGTTGAGGTGTTTCAACGCTCGAAAGGAGTAATGACTGACATAAGTTTATCAGATTCAAGGTCTTAATTCCATAACGCCCTGGTAGTAATCATTGCCCCGTTTGAGCTCACGGACTAAGGTTCTGAATGTTTTTATTAAAGCGGCGCTTTCAAATTTTTGCATTCAGGAATTCCCATAACTCCCCTTCCAGAAGCGCATTGCAAATAACGAAAGTAGGTTGTAGTAACGAAAGTATTTTCAGTGGGAATATTTGGATACAATTTTAGAAGCGGCTACATCAAAATTATTCAGAACTGCAGTTTGCGAGCTCAAACGGGGCAGAATACTGCCAGGGCACTTTATGGATTTAGTATCCTCGGTACAATGAGCTTGTACCAGTCGTTGCTCCTTTTTAGCACCGGAAATATCTCAACGCTTGTTTCCACCTTGGTCAAATCCTAGCCTTTTTGGAAATCCTTATAAACCCGCTCTCAGAAGCGCTTTGCAGATATCGAAAGCAGATTTGAAATCAGCGTTTGAGACTCTTCAAGAAGTTTTACATTTGATGTGGAAGATACCCTTCAACCAAGTACCCTTCCCTTGTTAGTTTTGATACCTTGCCCGCGCGATAAATCTTGAGCTCGGCACGAGCTAAAACCATCGAGCTTTTGTGACAACGTTCCCTTTGCTACCAAGATCTTACGAAGTCAACTCTAACGGATTCAAAGCCTTTTTGCCTGTTACTTGTTATCAATAACCTTGTTGTCGCTCAACCATGGAATGGTAAAAGAGCGAAAACCACTTTTACACTATTAGTTACATAGAAATAACCTACGCTGCATGCGCCGAGTCCCAAACTTACTTTCAAATGCTGGAGAGAAGCTTCAGCAGTCCATGTCCCAATCTAACTTTGCGAAAGAAGATCTTGCAAGCAAAATCATTTTATTGACAGGTGCCACCAAAACCGTCGACCAGAAAAGAGATAATAAGCAAAACTAGTTATGGTTGTGAATTAGGTTAGATGTACCAAACAATTGCTCCTCTATTGTTTTAGTGATCTTGGTCTTGACGAATATTTAACATCAGCAAAGCAAGAAGCTGTTCAACCTAATGAAATCTGCGCAGAAACCCTGTGCAAAGCAAAAGACACGAGCCTTCCTTCACAAAAGGTTTGTAAATTTTTTCGCAAGCGAAGCAACAACGTAAAGAGTTTTCAACTTACAGGCGTCTACTACATCAGATTCTAGAGGCAATCCCGCTGGAACCATTTTTGAAGTGATTGAGACTCCACTGAAACACTTTAAACCTTTCAGCATAGAAGAAAATGTAAGTTTCATAACTTTAGAGTGTTTCACTAAACCTGAATAATTTAGATTTTGCCGTTTATACGAAAGGAGCTTCTCAAGAAATGGTTGGACCCCAAAAGGCTTTTTGTCTGTAGCCTTGAACTCTCACATCCGAAGTTTGTGATATTTTTCGAGGAAGATAGGAGCCAGGATTTACTAAGGTGAGGTTTGACCCACTCAACTAATAAATAGGAAGATTTATAAGAATTTTTATTGTGCACATTCAATTTTAGGGTAAGAGTTAGCACAGACACACCGTATACACCAGCAGCAAGCAGAAGCCGTCTAATAGACATTGTGAAAACAAAAAGGAGGAGGAACCTTTGTTCACTTTTTAAGGACTTGTACGATTTTATCGCTGAGACAAAGCTGGAGTAAATATCACTTTAAGCTAGCCACGCATGTCTAGGCATTCTTGTTTTTAGGTGGAAAGTTGAGATTTACAATAATTATGATTGGAATTGTCGGCTTAATACATATCCGGAAGGCTATCGATGCCGCGTTAACAGCAAAACGATAGCGCCCATTGTAAGAAATTTTCTGTTTTTTTGATGCATATGGAATGAACTTGGGAAAATTTTTATATCAACATATCTAGGCTGCGAGCAGTTTTGAATTTGAGCAAATCAACCGACTTAAGAAGTTCTATGATCAAATAAACACAAAATCGGATCATTCAATTACAGATTGTAACTCGGTAAATCTGAGGTTTATTTTCGTGTACCAATTCAAAGTAGTTCTTGTTCAGGTTACCGTTCTGAGATGCTGCTGCTACCGAAGGGAAGGTAAAAGTGATCTCTTTTATCTCTCGAAAAGAATGATGTGCCGCCAATGTGTGTCTACTTCGATCATTGATCAGCTCAATAGGAAAAAGTTTCCCGTTGAAATTCCGGTATATACAATTAGTCGAATTATGTTATTTAATTGTGAGTGTCCAGAAATTTGCTCCTTCTTCTCCTTGTCAACTGGAAGTTCTATATGCGATTTTGCCTATACCCACGGTCGCTTCACTGCTGAAAGTAAGTTCAAACGCATGTGCTTTTCAGAAAATATGTTTTTACCTATTTTGCATTGACAAGGTTGTAATTGATGAGGGATCATGTTCAAGATTTCCGCTTCCGGTGTCGTCCTTCAACCCCCTCTCCGTTTTTTCCTATTGTACCGTATATCTACTTCTTCTGCAACGAATCATGGTTTGAAAAGTTGGGTCATTTTGCACAATCAGCAACTTCGGCGAGAGTCTTTAAGCTGCAATCCATCACGATTTTTTATGTACTTCATTTCCAATGGGCTGCGATCAACACTTTCCTGCAATCTTCTAGCTTTTATAAGTGGTCTTTAAGTTGGTGGGAGCATACTAATAGGCGGAGCCAGTTCATTTTTCTTCTGGAAAGCGTTTTGGAGTTTTCCTCCGCATTTGGACGATTGCTTAGCTGCAAAGCTAATTCATGTCTTTTTCTATCTATATCATTGACATGGTTACCCTTCACTGTCCAAACTCATTACTGCTTGTTTAAGTTGTAACATTTTTAGGTGGTCTGGGAATTACTATTCCCAGATTAGAGGACTTGCGATGGGTCAAAAACTTGCGCTTTCTTGGCGATCTGCTTCATGAGTTGAATTGAGGAGCCATTATTAACACGCTTGCCATCAATGTAGTGTCGATGACTGCTCCGTGTCACCTCAACACAGTCCAAAATGGACAAATGTTTTAGACTATTGAATCAACAGTGGTACATAAAGCTTACATGACAAACCCCGCACAGTGGCTGGCTTTCCTTTCTGAGCACCCAGGTAAATTATCTGATGGTACGGTTTGAACCAAATGTTACAAAAAGGAAAGCTTCAAAAAGATCCTTGTCTACGCAGCGTCAGCGCATCCTACAGCTCCAAGGCGTCCCGTAATCCATAATATGTACAAAACCGCTGCTGTAGTCTGTACGGGCGAGAAATTGCAGTGCAACCCCTTTCAGGCCTCCGAAGGAGAAGATACTTGTTGAAATGTTAGGCAATAAATGTCCACCATAAAAACCTTTCTGGCACAAAACCAAAATCACAATGTCCAAATTTGCTTTTTAATGAAGACACTTTACCCATCATATTGTCTTTTCAATAAAAGACTTACTTCACGATAGAAATAGTCTCATTTTTCAGAAAACGTTAGCCTTTCAAGCTAGACCTCGATTTGAGATGCGATTTATTATTTGCCCTAATTGTATAAAGCCACATGAGTTTTGCCCAGTGCCTCTTGCTACTACCGAAAGCTGTGGTATGATTTATATTACCTCATATTGCTCATGGGTAATCAGTAAGTGTTTTTTCAGTGTTCAATAGTTGCTCATGCTTAAAGTGTCACTATGCTTTTTGCTATCTTTGCGAATGGGAGCCACACTGGCCCATGAGCTGCGAGCAATTTGAGCGATGGTCTTCAAAATGGGACACTCAGCGTGAGTAACATTTCCTACGATGGAATGTCAGAGGTATTTGACAATATAAAAATTCAGATGTTTACGAGGATTACCATATAGATGGTGAACAAGTGCGACTATGCTGCGTTTGCGAAGAGATCTATACTGTAGGAATTACACATCACTTGCATAAACTTGCTGTCACCCTTGACATTCGTAATTTAGGTGCCAAAAAGGGCGATAGGTAGAAGCTGTCCCAAGGAATGTTGTAGACACCAGTGGAGGCCACCATTCGCGCAGTTGCATGACCACACCTCTGATACTGATTATAATTGGTCTCCTTTATCCATAAGATCGTATAAGCATCTAAATGCTCTGGGTATAAAAATAGAAAACTGCAAAATTTGTGTAGGTTTTCTCCTCTTCTATCTGGCTAAGACTAACAATATTATGAGGTTTTTGAGGGTCACGAAATCTTGCCAGAATCAGTTGAGATTAAACCAGTTATGAATAGAAAGGTTGCCGAGGTAAGTGGGCTTTGTATTTTTATTTTTAGCCAAGAACACAACTATCTAGATATGCGCATATGCGAGGAGGCAGAGATTTTTGCAAAACAGCGACTTCGAGAAATTTGTTATGTCTTCCGTCACAAAAAACAAGGAGAAGTTCAAGGATCTGAGAAAAACGGTGCCTTTTTAGTTCAAAAAATAGCTTAGTTCTAAAAACGACTTTTTAGGTACTTTATCTTATTGAATTCTGTACTGGTTGGATTTATGTAGCTAAACCCCCTAATTGGAGGCACTTAAGTTTGAAGATATCAAACCTCAATAATAGTCTCCAGTTTATCGAGCAGCAACTTCCTTTGCCAAGGTGATTATCGTGCACTTGTGTCTCTATGAATGACCCAGAAAGCCCGCTTTTAGGGAAGATTTTGTCAAGCAAGTGGGTAAACTCGAAGAGGAGACCAAAAACCTTATCAAACTTGTTCGGAGAAGTTTGAACCAAAGGCAGGTCTGAAAATATGCGCTTTTCAAGTCCAAAAGATGCCCAGATTATGACGTAATTTGTCATAATTTTATACGTAGTTGTAAAAATTAGCAGGTGGACCTCTTGCTCTTGTTCTGGACAAAAAAACGTAACTACGTTTAGGGACGGTCTTGATGCTGGTTCAAGGACAAAATGCCATGCAAGTCGAAATTTGGAGAACAAATCCACCTACTAGTGGTTTTTCAAGGAAAGTTGCAGAAAAAGTTCAAACATCGCAGGTGATAGTAAAATTTGAAATTATTTTGAGAAGCTTACTAGGGTTTGTTAGTTGTAGTGAAGTGTAGATCGTACACATTGTAGTTAAAGGCACCGTCCACCCAAAGCGAGGTTGATGAGATTTCGGTGGCATACTAGTGTGGGGGCCCACACTAGTATGCCACCGAAATCTCGTCAACTTCGCTTTGGGTGGACGGTGCCTTTAAGATTACTACAATAAACTAACTGCAGGTGGTAAATTATAGTGGACGTTAGCTTTTTTATAGAATTCATTCCTATTAGGAGCGGTCTACAAATTTTATCGTTGGTATGTCACTTCATCCTTTGTACATGTTTGTATGGTTGTTGCAAAAATAATGTCCGTTCTGCAAATTTTCACTTTGAAAAGCTATAACTTCGTTCAGTCTCCATATTTTTGAATGCAGTCAAGACCATCAGAAACACCAAACCTTTCTTAATTTAGCGCGCCCTGCCCATACTGATATCGCAAACGGGAAGAAAACCATGCGTCAGAAAACTGAAAAGTTTTTTTCTTGAAAACCTCGTCTTCAAGAGTTTACAACTCCCTTCAAGCTTTGTCCCTATGTCTGCTAATTAGCTTATTTTGTAGCCGCAGGCCAATAGTATAGGTGTGTATAGAAAAAACTCCAACAAAGGAGTTCTGCGAAAAGAAAAGATAGAAATTCAAAAATGTTCACTTTTTTGAGCCTAATTGTTGTAGGCTTGTAAGTGCCTAATTATGAAAATTTGGAATTCTTCGCGCACTGAATAGCTAAGTTTCTCTTCAAATAATGTAGTTAAGGTGTGCTTATTTCAAACTTATAGAAATGGGCGAAGCTTTGGCGACTGCCTTAATTATGAGAAATTTCTGACCCATAGAATGCCAGCAGCGAGTGTCTATTTTGACGCGTCAATTTCTAAGTCCACATTTCTCCAAAAATCTACATAAGCACGCAGTAGGTAAACAATCTTCATTCAATACACTTGCTATGTTTTCAGAAGAATTCGTTTATTCGCTCCTGAATTGTGGTCAAGAAAGTGGAAGCTATGAGATTCTGATTTTGAGTGCGGATGTGGAAAATGCTGGTGAAATTATCACATGTGAGATAGCAGCTTAATTTCAACGCCATGAGAAAGCACATGAAGAGAGCTTTCCAATGATATGCAGATGCTATATCGAAAAAGAAAGTCTGATGGGAAAAAATTGTTTGGAAATAGGTCTAGAAAAACGGACATTATTTTTGCAACAACCTAATATTTGATGTATGATATGTATTCTCCCAAGAGGAGGAACGAAATGGAGATAGGCATCGAGATTTTCATTGACAAAGTTTGTTTCACTGTAACCCTGTATTTCATTCTGTCAGAGAGATGAAAACTTAGCACCTTATAAGTTTTAGCACATTTACAATTGAATTGATTGTTATAAATTTTTTGAGCTAATTGTTCACGTGTGCGATTTGGAGGGCTTGCACAACCCTTTTGATCTCCGAAATAATCAGTTTTTTTACTCCCTGTCGACATTAGTTTTAGAAGATCCTGTGGATATTGAGCTTATTAAGTTACCACGCGGGCTTCGTTAGTGTTACCTCAAGTTGGGTTGAGGTAGCACTAACCCATTAAACGCTTATTTAAAATCGAAACAATAGTTATTCGACGCAGAATCATGAGAGTGATGTCCCAAGACTTGTCAGCCCTCAAAGTGCTTCTCAGAATACTATTAGGTCATTACGAAAGTAATTTCGCATTTTTCAAACGGACGCCACATACGATGGAACAAAGATTTCTAAGAGTTCTTGGAAGCATTCGATGCAGAATTTCATCCTCTTTCTAAAGGTTATAAAAATGTTGCAGAACATTCAATGAGCTTTCAGAAAATAACCAAAATCTGCGACTCATGCTTTTTGAGGTGGTCAAGTTTCACGATTTTTTAAAACTTTCATATCAATCCTCAAAAGGAGTTTAAGCAACGATTCGATAGAGTAAACCTTATGGAATACAGTACTGCTTTTTTCTCCTTTTCATAGCTTGTCATACATTTTTAACAGAATTTTAAGTGATGCTACCGATTTCCATACTTGGGCAGCTAAATCCTTGTAGAATATCAGAAGAAGAGCAGCTCGCGCATTATTCGATGCAGCATTTTCTCCTCATTCTAACAGGTGTTTTTCGTTTCCGATTAGTTTAGTTTCCGGAGATAAAATTATCATAACTCATTTTTTTAGCGAGCCCCAGGCTGTACCCGAAAAACTCGAAATTTCATATTTCGAACCCGTAAACCCTCACTTGCTTTGTAAAATTATTGCTAACTCATAGTACCATCTTGGTAGTCTCAAATTCCGAATAATTATGATGTTTGATGCGATTGTGGCTGATATAGGCCTGCCCAAATCCGATGTTTGTTAAAAAATCCTTCAAAAAATTATAGCGGGCTACGAGAAAGAGAAAAAAGAGTGCTGTATTCTATAAGGTTTACGTTATCGAATTGTTACTTGAACTCCTTCTTAGGATTGATATGAAAGTTTTGAAAAATCGTGAAACTAGACCATCTCAAAAAGCATGGGTCGCAGATTTTGATTATTTTTTGAAAGCTCATTGACTATTTTGCAAGAATTTCATAACCATTAGAAAGAGAATGAAATTCTGCATCGAATGCTACCAAGACCTCTTAAAAACCTCTATTCGATCAAATGTGGCGCCCGTTTGAAAAAAGCGAAATTACTTTCGGAATGACCTAATATTAGGAATTAGCAAAAATAATGAGTGTTTTTCTATTAGAACAACTTTTTTCAATGAAATCTTTCTTGAAAAAGCCTTTCATTATCGAAAAGCTCTTTTCATGCACCATTTTATGATGACTAAAATGGGTTTTTTATTTCATTTATTTATAGAGCTTCAAACATGAGCATTTCTGTTCTGGCCAGATTGGCGCAATGACGGCGCTTCTTTTTGAAACCTCAGCTGCTCCCTGCAAAGGAAACTGTCTACATTACGCACACTGTACATTTTCTTGCGATAATAATTAGACTGGTATACCGGCTCGCTAAGAAGGGTAGTCATTTCAATCGTCCTATGGCCCATAAATTTTTTGAAGAAGTCGATCGCCAAAGCGCTCATTACTGTAAGCGTAAGGGTAGGCCTCCTGTTGAAAGTTTTCGCAAAGCGTTTAGCTGTTCAGTACGCAGCAAACCAAAATTCTACATTTTGGTACTTTGAGGCTTTTTAAAAATGTTGAAAAAAGCTGAGAATTTCGAAATTTCTTGTCCAAGCCTTTTTTTCTTTATTATTATGTATTCGCTACTACAAGATAGGCTAAAAGAATACGAGTAAAAGATTGCGAGCATAAGTTTTTGTTTCTCCCAAGCAACACATTATGTGCACGCACGACAAAACTGTGTATGGCGCGTGTTTTTTGAGCGTTTAGCTAGAAGATTTAAGTATCTTCAGTGTCCCTGCAGTGCTTCCGACATTTACGAAAATTTGCCCTTGAACAAATTGCAAAAACCTATAATGCCGGTAGAGCGCAAATGACTTTCTGTGTCCTCTCGCATTTCGTTCAAACATTCAGACGTGAATGTTTTACACCCAGGGTACTGAATTTACTGTCGGAACTATTAGGTTAATGCACAATTCTTGCACACGGAAATTCTTAGAATTCTGTCTTTCTCCAGCTTCCATAAAATCTTTTGATTCAACAGCTGATGGAAAAAGAAGACCTTGACATTTCAGAATGTGCTTGAGTAAAGTTCCTTAGGACATAATCCAACGATGTAAGTTTTCTAAGAAAATACCCAAAGATTTTTCGATTTTTGGTTGCAGGAATCGCTAAAACGTCTACTAAAATCTGATTCATTTTTGTCTTGGTTTAATGACCTACGCTTTTATCTAAGAGAAGTTGATAATGATTGGATGTCTCTAGAAATAGAGATGAATTTCGTATATTTAATTCGACTTATTGATTCTTCATATTGATTTTCTGAAATGTACTATGAAGTAACACTCTTGATATACATAACAAAAAGAGTGTTGTGTAAATTAATTAGTTTGTTTAAGCATTTTAAAAATAATTTTTCATTTTTCATGCAGCAATTGTGGCATCAGTCTAATACAATTGCAGATCATGAATTTATCAATGTAGCAATAACTGCAAACTTTTAAAGCTATCGCAAACACTCCCTTTAATTTATGTTCCAGCAGAAAAAGCTGCATAAGTAGTATGATGTTTTTGCATTTTACATTTAGAAAATACTTTAGTTAGTATCCTTCACAGCACATCACGTAGTCAATAGAAAGATCGAACTGAGGAAATGGCGGCAAACGTTATTTACTTAGACGGGTTGATCGAAAATTGTTTTTTTTCTCTCATGTGTTCTGGCTGTGTCAGAATGAACCAGTGATAGTGCAGATCACTTGAAATTACCAAGAAAGTTTGATGCTTCTGCCTAGTCCTTTCACACGATCTCCTTCTCAGAATTGATGCTTTGATGAGTCATCTTGTACTTTAGGAGTGAAAATCGCAGGAACCTGTAGCGAAACGTCGCACAAGGCAACGAGATCCTTGCTTTGTGTCTTTGATGCTAGATTACACAATGTTGCACAACGAGTGCGCTTTTTAGTATTCCACTATATAATGAACGCGCTGTTGTTTCTTTTTCAAAAGCGTAAGAAAATGCTGCAATCTTTACTTTCCTCATCGCCAATTTACGCGAATTATGCAGATTTCTCAACCATCCTTCTTCTATTTTAAAATTAACATATCCTTCTTTACTCATATATTTTCTTAATTTTCATTTTTAGGCACAGTTTTCATGTCCTATTCCGACACTGAAGAGTATAAATTTCTGTGAGTAATTACACTCTTTCAGAGTAGCACTTATAGCCATGCTCATTTCAGTAATACATCTCAAAAAATGCGCTCTCTGAATTATGCAAAACAGAGACCGAGCAAGAAGCATACGCGAAACGATTTTTATGTCACTAAGACATTGTATGATCCAATGAATACTGTCAGCAAGGTAGTTTTTAAATCAACATCTAGTTCGTCATTACTCATGTTTTTCCAGAAACACCGAACGAAAATACTTGCAGATAAGTTGGACGGGTTTTCCTTCAACGTTCCATACTCCATGAATAAGAAAGAAAGATGGGAGAAGGTAAGGGCTTTTTTCAAAGAACCAGTTTTTCAAATACTATAATTTCACAGATAGACCGTATCGCTCTTCTCAAAATTCGACAGCCGTCAGATGATGCTTTAGAGACCATCGTAGTAAACAGGGTGGATGTTCCATATTCTGGTAATCTCTGTCTGACTCTGAATTGAAGTTCGACTGTTCTCGATCTTTTTACAGATGACAGTCACGGCAATACAGTCAAAAGCATCAACTTAATTCAGAATGATGGCATTGCCACATTGGGCTGTGGGGGGAGACCACATACGGTATGGTTCATTTTCACCCCGCAAGAGTAACAATGTAACAGAAGAATATGTCCGTCTCAATACCATCGTTTGCATTTGCAGCTCAGCCATTTTGTCGGTCAGATTAGGGATTTAAAGCATATGGACAAGAAAGAAGCAGACCCAGCAAGATTGCTCTTCAACTTTTCCAGTACTCGTCAATCGCCTGCCAAACAAACGAAAAGAAAATCCAAACAAAGTTAGTTCAACTACGTACTAAGTAGACTCATTGACTGACTTCACATTTTGCAAATTCACAACCCGTTTTTCGGATGGTTAAAAGTACAGCATTACTTGACTTGGTTTGTTATTCTTTGCTAATAACCTTTAGCTTTTTAGCTACTCACTGTGGTTTAACTTCACATCGCTGACTGAATCCGTTCTATAATTATATGCATGTTTTCGTAAATGTGAAACAAAACTGCGAATACTATAAAATTCGGATTATTTAGCTCCTATAAAGTTACTACAAACTATAAAAATAATCAAGCGTGGCCTCCGACATGAGATGCACGATACAAGAATTATCTTAGAAAGCTCATTCCTAAGTTGTCGACCATCTTCTAATGGAACTTAAGCGAGTATTTATATTGTTAAATGATATATCATGGAAAGAATGAGAATGCTCAACGCCACCTTATCTCAATACAATGATATTTGTCATTTTTTAAAACGGAAACAAGCAATCTTGTCACTGCTAGTTATCTTGACTGTAGTGCTTTTCTCTGATTTCAAATCATCTCTTTGGTTTTTTTGAACGTAACATTCATGTTCCTTTGTCTTTGTCACTTGTCGGAGCTCCTCATTAACGCGGCTTCTCGCTTTGGGCAGTTCAAGAAAGCGACTAACTGACTAGTGTTTGTTTTTTGAAAGTGAAAGTATGTTTTTGGTATTTGCGACACAGTACACTACTCTAACATATGATTTTGGTGAGGAACTTGCTTTTTTTTTAATCTGAATTTGCCTCAATTACTTCAATACGCCATGCACAGAGTGGACGTTTTTTGTTCCCTTAGCCTTTTTCTTGCTCACTGTTTGCCTGTATCTCATTGTCAGTGCTCTTTATTGACACGTTTAGATTAGATTAGTTGCAGATGTTATTGATTGTGTTGCTTATTGAGCATCATTATCTATCAGGTCCGGCTTTAGCGACTCCCCATCTTGTGATTCCTTTTTAACAGGTCCCGCTTTAGCGACTCCCCATCTTGTGATTCTTTTTTAAGAGTCCGGAAGCTTTCGCTTTTGGGATCCTTTGCATCTTGATCTTTGCCCTTATTGTTGAGGTTTTATTGTGGGTTTCCAATAATGAAACGATAACAACAACCTGCATAATGGAACGCAAAGAAACGTTTTTGTAACAACAATAGAACACGAAAGAATATCAAAAGCGCGAAACGTTCACGTTGCCTCGATGAGTCCTTTTGCAGTTAAGGAAGATTGAGCGTTCAAATAAATCGCCTATTGTACATCTCATGATAAAAGGATGGTCACTGGTCACGGCCATCAATATCATACTTTCCTTCATAGATAGAGACAGGCATATGTAGTTTCGCAATTACCTGCTGGGGGGTAAAGAAAAGTGCTGTAGTTAAAAGCTTTCGTGAAGCAGGTATTACACCACATACATAAGTCTTTCACTCCTAAATAAATATGCGCGAAATATCAGATTCTGTGAATTGTGCAGTTCTTCACGACTAGTGAATGTAAAGCAACTCAACATTTTGTGAAATTTAGAGAAACGAAGAGCCTACCAAAATGTCTTCGATACCGACTACGAGGACTACGACACTTCAGAAACGCTTGGTAAGTTCAAGCAAATGGATTTCAAATTTTTGCTCAATTCTTGACCCTATTCTTTCTTTGGGCTGCGTAAAAATGTTATTGACAGATCATATTATGAATGTTATGATCATTATGAATGTTTGGCATCGTTGAAAAGGGTTTCAAAAAGAGCCAAAGGTTTTTCTTCCTACTGACGAAATGATGTGGAGAAGCAAACTCTGGTTTTTTTGACCGAATTTTCAATTCAACAAAAAACTTGCTGAAATCGAATATATCAAATTGTCTCAATAGTAAACTCCTTTTCCATACAGTTCAAGCTGCTTTTGTTTTCACAGAACTTAGGGTATTTTTCAATAGAGTAGATCAAGCTCTACAAAATATCCACCAAGCTTTCGCCTAAGTCGAATTCAATGGAAAGTTTGAAGCCAAAATCGAAAAAAATCTTGTCTTCGGACCTTCAACTTGGTCATTATACAGTGGGCATATTGTAGCACTCAAATATGCCGTTACCGAATTTTTTCCAAGCATAGAAAGCGAGAAACAAAAATTGTTCAAAAATAACAAACTCCGCCCCAGCCCCTCCCACATAAGTCATTGTTTACACGAGCCTTACCAAGTATAATTTCAAGACTTTACCCCTGTATGTGCTCTTATAATCGAGAAATTCCAAATTTTATCTGAAAAGGTCAAAAATGTGGTACTTTTGGCAATTGAAAAAAATTTTTTGCCCCTCCCCCGGTCCGAAATCCTGGGATTGCCACTGGTATCTACATACTATATAAAGACCAGATTGGAAGTTTCTTGAAGGAGATCCGATTCTTGGGGTAGCTGAAAATTTCGATTTTTGGCCAAATTTTACCTGGATTACGACTTAAGTAGATTTTTGGTGGTCTTTTTGTAGAGCTATCCGCTCTATCGAGTGGTGCCCTAAATCTGTCATGAAAAGAAAAACAGCTCAACTTATTTGAAAATGCAGTTTACTTCTGGGACAACCTAATAAAATGTGCTGATTGTATGCGCTCAAACTATATCAATATTTGCGACCATTCATATGCTACACATTAACAAACAAGGCGACTAAACTGCTCAAAAAAGAAATTTGTGCACAAATTTCAAAATATTTTCACAATTGTAATTATGGAGCTTTGCTATGCGCAGATCACAATCTTCATTGTAGCTCGTCATATACAGCCAAATTTTGTATGTATTTGATCACGAAATCACTCATCTGTGCACAGACTCAAGCTAGAGAACCTTGGTCTAAAATGTGAATTGTTAGATCAGCCTTATATGACTGCTAGTCGTCAGGACTGGTCATTTATCAATGACTGGAAGTTCTAAATCGTTGAAGTAAAAGTGTTCGAAGGGGCCTTTTGCTCGCTGAATGAAATTATCCTTTAGGCAACCTCATAATTTTCGGTCGTGAGTTTTCAAGGTATCTTTGACGAGTTATACATCAAATAAAATGCCAAATATTAGATTTGTTGTTTTGTATTGCTTACCCAAAATCATAACTCTTCAGAGGAGTGCTTATTTAATACAAACTGTGCACAGTTGGAAAGGTTGGATATGGATCAGTACTTTTATGACTGCTTGCTTAGCATCAATATAATGGCGACCCAACTCGAAATGGTCAACCTGAAGTAATTTTATTCTCCCGTTCCTAACTCAAGAGCTGACACTTGTTAGAGGCCGCCAAAATGTTATTCTCATGCTTTTATCTCAAGAGCTCACATTCATCGGAGGGCAGCAGAAACATTATTACAAAGAAAATGTTTTTATATCGAACAAATCAAGTATGTGCAATGTCGAGAGAGGAAGAAGCAGGGCTCGGCATGAGGTGGCTTTTTTCAATTTTGTAAGAACGAAGCCTCCGCAGATTTCGCTACACAAATACGACATCACCTATGACGCAATCAGGAATGGATCAATCACGAATAACAAAAAAAATGAAACAAAACTTAAAAGCAGCATGAACAAACGAAAAGGAACTGAAGAACTTCGTATTCTCCGTATTGGCGGCATGCTGTATCCGGCGCGCGCCGTTGCGCGCTCGGAGCCGGGTTGCCGCCGCCATACAAAATATTTACAGGGCTGTAACCAGGCGAGGAGGAGGGTTCGGGGAGATTCAAAGCTCAGCTATAGGGTTATTGATGTAGAACAAAGATTTGCCAAACTTGTGAAAAAATCATGTGAAGGAAGGGAAAATTATGACTTTTTCTTTTTACAGCCACCTTGGGTGGCTGTCCAGGTGGCTGTAAAGCCACCTAACTTCGAAAAAAGTTTGCCGCGACTTCAGTTCACATAACTTTTTCATAATTTTTTGCACACAGTATTATCCCCCCATCGCCATCTATACACCCATTTTGGTTTCATTTCATTTTCATTTCGCTGTAAACAAGCCCTTTTTTTGTTTGGGAGACCATGAGCAGCGTGCCGGCAGCAGATCGAAAGACAGCGGTATGCTCTTCCGTAAAAACGATATCCCCTTTGCTTTTTAATACCTCCAAAACATTATCCAGCTTGCCCGTATGCCATCTGTGCCGAGCCCTGGGAAGAAGTCATAATTTACACAGTGGTGTAAGTGAAGTTTTGCTCCAACCTAAATAAAATAAGAAAATTACTGCATATGTATTTGCTTTGAAGCTGTGCATGGTGCAAAGGTCGGAGACTACGAGCCGTTGCTCACAGATGCCACAAGGCTCCACACCAATTGAAGAACTTCCATACTTTTTGAATTTGCCTCAAATGATCAAAGTTAACCTCTAATAGCAGAAAAGCGGAAGGGAGAAAGAAAACTGAGAAAGCTCAATACGTGAGCAACGAGCGCTGTCTCGCTGACATTCGCGATCACGCATGGCCCTATGCAAATATTTTCAAATACTTGGCGTTTCTGTCACGCCTTTATTATGTTTAGTGTTGGATACACTTGTCCTTACACCAATACGTCGTTCCCAACTGAGTCTTCATCTGAGGAAGTCTCCCAACTTCCTTCCTCACTATTACGATTCAGAGTGCGAACCATATGCGAGTGAAGAAGAGTCTGCTGTCAATGAACGAGATTCCTCTTCCTGCGACAAAGACTCCATCAAGCTTAGTGAGTCTTCACTTGGAAGTTTCAGGCAAGTTTACAACAGAAGTATATCGCAACAACATTTGACAAAAAGTAGGCAAAGCATACATGAGCTTTTGCTTCATACTGTAGAGGAAGAAGGTGCACGAGAAAGCAGACTGAGCATTTTTGGGGAGCTCAAGCTCTCAATGCTGTTGTCAGCTCGAAAATGCCCACATTATGTGCTTGGTTGTTGGACACATATCGACTCCACAAGGGAAAAAAATTCTATGTCGCTGAAGGAACGGCAATGGTTTTAAAAGTCAGCGGGCTGCAGGGGACTTCCTTTTCATAAACCCTAGAAACCGACTCTGCCGGGTCCTGAACCGGACGGATATTTGAGAGCGAGTATAAAACACATTATAGCTGGATGAGAAACGGTGATATGTATCATGCAATAGTGCTCTGTATAAGATCAGTAGTAATCATCTTTGGAATGAAATCAGCAATTTCATGCCTTGTCGCATCAAACAGCCTTACAACTGTTCTGTGATTGGTGTTGATTTAGTGATCTTGGTTTTGACGAGTTTTCAAAACAGAATTTGGAATTCGAAACCACTTCTTCTCCTTCTGATGCAATAGTTAATCGGAGCGATCTTTCCAAAAAGTTTCTTAAAACCGTATGTGTTTATCTCACTTAAAATCAGAGAATTGTTCCCAAATTACAGGAATCTGCTACTTGTTCACATGCTCCTGATACAGACACTATCTTTGAAGTTATTGAGACTCCACTCAAAAGTTTCGAACCTTTCAGCATTGAGGGAAATGTAAGTCTGCAGAGGGCAAATCATTTTTTGAAATTCTTTTATGATTCAGATCTTGCCATTCATACGAAAAGAACTGTTCAAAATATGGCTCGAGCCCAAGCGCCTTTTTATTTCTAGCCTTGAAGTCTCTCATCCAAAATTTGTGATATTTTTCGAGGAAGATCAGGGCATATTGAGGTGAGGTTTGGCGATGTTTTTTTGTAGATATTATCTGCAATTATTGCTCTTTGAGCACGTTTTTTTAGGGTCAGAGTTAGCACAGACTCGTCTTACACAAAAGCAGCAAGCAGAAGCCGATTAATAGACATCGTGAAAACAAAGAAAGGGAGTGACATTTCCGCACTGTTCAATGACCTGTATGACTTCATCAATGAGACAACAAAAGGGTAAATCTTATTTTTTCATTTGTGCCAAGCATGCTAAAGTAGTCTTTCTGTAGTTGGATGGAAGATTACTACCATAAATATGATTGGAACTGTCGGATAAAGAGATATCCTGAAGGTTTTCGATGTCGCGTCAACAGCAAACTGATAGCACCCATGGTAAGCTTTGAATTTTCGTACAGATGGAATGAGTGCCATAATACTGACGCTTAAGTCATGCACCAAAAATATTGAGATCTAGTCCTGAAGTAAAGGCGTCCACCTACATGAGCTATAAAATCATACCAACTCGTCCAATTTGTAATTAATTGAAATAATCCTCAAAAATTTTTGAAAAATTCAGCTGTATAAGAAGTTTTCTTGGGTGCGTGCTTTAGGGGCACCAAAAATTTTTTGGACCTTCACTGGAAGAATTTTTGCCTCCCCCTCCCGAACTGAAATCTTGAGAGGCCACTGTCCTCAAGTGAATTATCAGGTTTTTACCACTTGTCCTTTATTACATACACTAGTGGATTTTATAGAATATTTAAAAGATGTATTGAAACAAAATCTAGAAGTAGAAAAAAACTTCAAAAATCATAATGCATTAGGTTGATGCATAAATCTTGCACCGAAATTTTTGAAACTCTGTTCTTCCAGCTTCCATGAAATCTTCTGGTTCAACAGCTGATAAAGATAGAGAAAATCTTGCGATTTCAAAAAATGTGCCTGAGAAGAAATTTTTCAAGAGTATACGATATAAGCTGTTTGAGAGAAAAACCCAAAAAGTGATTTTTCGATTTGGTTGCCGAAATTGCTAAAACGTTTACTAAAATCTAGATTTGTTTTTAGTCGTGGTTTACAAGCTATTCTTTTTGAATAAGGAAAATTGGTATCGATTGGAATCCAGGCGGTATGCAACAATCGCCCATCCGGGTAAGTTACCCGGACATATAGTTTCCGCTTCATAGCTCGGTGCTCTGGGAATCTGTGTCTTACCTCGTTTGTTCATCTGTTGGAGGCTCAACTACCCTAATATTGTAGCACAATGATTAGCAGCACTTTGCTGTATAAGCTGAGATGATTCGTTATTTGTATGTTCCCGAACGGGATCTGCCACTGATCACGCTCATTTTCAAAGTTATTTATATCCGCAAAAACTCAATAAAGACGTCGCAGAGTTTTGCTAAACATTTATTGCGACAGTGCTACGCGTGTTTGTGAAAGAAATAAGTGAAAAATCAAGTTGACAAAATCTTCGATGAACCTGTGCTCACTAGTTAGGGTTTATTGAAAAACTCAAAACTTGCACATTTCATCTGTGCTACTGAAAACAAGCCTAGCATGTCGTAATAGGTCGACAGCAAAACTCTGCGAGTCTACGTTGAGTTTTTGCGGATATATAATAAATAACTTTGAAAATGAGCATAATCAGTGGCAGACCCCGTTCGGGATCATACAAATAACAAATTGTCTCAGCTTATACAGCAAAGTGCTGCTAGCCATTGTGCTACAATATTAGAGTCTCCAATAGATGAACAAACAAGGAAGAACATAGATTTCCAGAGCACCGAGCTATGAAGCGGAAGCTACCTGTCCGGGTAATTTACCCGGACGGGCGATTGTTGCATACCGCCCCAGGAATAGTCATGAATGTCGATTCTTTCAATTCGACTGATTGATTTTGTTTCATATCGATTTTCTAAAAGGTACTATAGAATACCAATTTTGATATACATAACAAAGAGCATATTGTGAAAAATTACTAGTTCGTTTGAACACCGGATTTTTTTAATAAAGGGTCTAGTTACGAATTCGGGGACAAAAGTATTAGAATAATAGAATAGGTTAAGAATATAATAGAATAATAATAAGTAATAATTATAATTGATTATAATTATAATAATAATGATAAGTAATAGAATCAGGTTTGAAGGAATATCTTCAATGATAAAAATTTTTTGTTAGCATCTATCTCCCAGGGAAGACAATAATTTTTGTCCCAACGAATATATATCAAAGCAAAGACTCCGAGCCGACGTTTCTGAAAATACATTGCATTATCTTGAGGCTGCCAGTGGCTTTGAGTTCGAGCAGATGAATCAACTCAGACAATTATATGAGCAAACAAGCCCGAAAATTGACAGTCGTGGAACTTGTTCTAGCTCGGTACGTATGTAGTTTTAAAGCATCACACTGTCTCTAAAAGTAGCGAATCTTCTAGGAATTTACCTCAAGATGTTGTTGTTGTCGAAAGAAAGGCAAAAGTGATTGTTTTCGGTTATCGAAGGGAATGGTTTGTCGCGAATGTGCATCTATCTCGATCACTGATCAGCTGGAGCGAAAAAAATTCCCCATAGAGATTCCGGTACAGTTATTTATAAAAAAATATTAAGATAATCACAAGCCTTCAGAAAGTCTCTCCTTCTTCTGATCTTGAGTTCGAAGTTTTATACGCGATTTTGCCCATACAAAAGGTAGCCTCGTTACTAAAAGTGAGTTGATGCTTTCATGCTTTCATTGCAGAAACCAACCAGAAACCAAAATCTTGAAAATATAGCTATTCAATGCAGTTATTTTTGTCTTTGTATCCGTATATCCCTTCGCCTTCACTCAAAATTATATAAAAAGGCATAAAAATAATTGTTTTATTGGAATTCTTTTCACTGCCATCCGTTTCTGATGCTTGCGGCACTCTCAGTGGAAACTATCAGGTTGTCCCGAAAGTAAACTGTTTTTCCATATAAATCAAACTGTTGCTTTCCTAACAGACATGGGGTACATTCGACAGATTGAAGCAATCTTTACATTTTGAAGAATAGAGATCCGCCTAATGAGTCAAAGAACAAAATTTCTTGACCACCTTGAAAATCGGAATTCCTTCGAGAAAGTTTCCACGAACTCCAATCGGTCATTATACAGTAGACACATGGTGGCACCCAAAAATGCTTTTGATGGATTTTTCAAGGGCCCAAAATAGGAAATAAAAATACTCCAAAATGCATGTCACTTTTTCAGGTTTTTTAGGTTGAAACTGGTATTTCTCGGTCTAGCGCACATACAGAGGTATTTGAGGTTATATTTACTGAGGCTTGCATTATACAACCACAATCAATCACAATGTAGGAGGAGCTAAGGGCGGGATCTGCCACTCTCGGCCTTTTTTTTCTCAGTTTCTGTGCGCGAAAAAATTCAGCAAATGCATTTTTGGATAACTGTGTATTGTCTATATAGGATTATATAAAAGTCTCGTAGGAATCTTTTTCGCAAAAATGCAATTTTCAGGTGTCAGAATTTTTCCCAGCTTGGCAAACTTTACCTGGATTATGATTTAGGCGTTTCTTTGATAATCTTTTCATAGAACTTGTTTTTCTCTATAGAATGGTACCCAAATATGCTAGAAAAAACAAAAACAGTTTGATTTACTCAGAAAAACCGCTACTTTTGGCATAATCTAATATCACGCACGCTTTTAGGCTATGATAAATGTACGAAAAAAATGTAGATGGGCGAAGATGTCAATAGTTTTTGGTTTCGAATTGGCCGCAGGCTTCTTACGACAGTTTTTTAAAAATTTGTAAATCAGCACCTTCAATTCCAAACCTGTAGATTATTTGTTTTTCTACAAATTTGTTTTGAATTCTTCAGGAATCGTTAGCTTTTCAAGCTAAACCCAGATTTGAAATGCGATTTGTCACATGTCCTAAGTGCGCAATGCCATATGACTGTCCGATGCCACTCGCCACTACTGAAGACTGTGGTTTGACTCGTTTGAGCTCACCCTGCTCTAAAATTTCTTTATTTCTTTTTTCAGTTTTCAACAGCTGCTCATGTACAAAGTGTTTCACTGCGTTTTGTTATCTTTGTGAATGGGAGCCGCACTGGCCTATGAGTTGCGAGCAATTCAAGAAATGGACTTCGCGATGGGATACGCAATGTGGGGGTGTTAAGTCATGCGAACCAAGACTTCTTTCTTTGTGACAATGGTGAATGTTTAGATTTCTATGAGGATCACCATATAGATGGCGAACAATTGCGATTATGCTGCGCTTGCGAGGAGTTCTACAGTGTAGGCACCACTAGATATTTACTTGAATTTGTTTATCTGCAATTGTTTCATTTTAGGTGCCAAATGGGACAGAAGATAAAAGCTGTCCTAGGCTTGTCTGTAATTTGTACTACAGGCCGCCATTTGTACAATCGCACGATCATAGTCATGATTCCAAGTTCAATTGGAATGATATGGCCATAAAGTTGCGCAGGCATCTCACTGCTTTGAAAATAAATATCAAGAATTGTAAAATATGCGTGAGTTTTTCTTTGCAACAATTTTTCTACACATAGTAAGACTAGCTTGAACCTTCTAGGGTCATGAAATCCTGCCAGAATCAGTTGAACTCAGGCCTATTATGAATAGTAAGACCGCTGAGGCAAGCGAACGTTAGGCATTTTCTTTTTGAACTAAAAAAGTTTCTTTTCTATAGTTATGCGCATACGCAAGGAGACAAAGATTTTTGCAAGGTAGTGATTTTGAGAAATATGTCATGGCTACATTCAACGCGGAAAAGAAGGAAAAGTTTAAGAATCTGAGAAAAACGGTAATTCTTATATTGCAAATTTACTTTAGCAAAAATAAACGACTATCTAGGTACTCTATTTGATCGAGTTTTGCACTGGCTGGTTATATGTAGCCAAACCCTTTGACTGGAAACATTTGAGTTTGCAAATATCAAATCTCAATAATAGCCTTCAACTCCTCGAGCAGCAGATTCCTTCAGCAAGGTAACTGCTGCATACGCAAGTTTTCATCAAAAAAATTAAAATTTTAGGGACGATTTTATGAAGCATATGGGTGAACTTGAGGAGGAGACCAAGAATCTCATCGAACTTGTTCGAAAGAGTTTACGCCAATCATATAATATGCAGAAAATTTACCTGTAGAACAGAATTAATAAAAACACTTTTAATTTGCTGTGATGAGAAATTGTGGTAACTGAAAATACCATAATATCATCTAGTGAAAAAATTCTGTGCTGTGATTTTAAGGTTTTTGAAATGTTATTGCTATGAAATGTTATTGCTGTCTCGTATTGCTTCAGACCTCGACAAAGTAACCAACTCCGTAATACTCTTGGCCAACGTGCTGGGGCTATCGCTCCATTTTTAGTGAAGTTGAAGAAGTGAACAAGTGAATAAGAAGTTCTTTGGTCAAATCTAGCCTTTAAGCATAAAGTCCACTCAAAAAATGGTACTAGAGAAGAAGTAAAATCTGAAAACTACGTTTATCTATTTATTTATTTTTCATAATACACTCGAGGTGTGCCGTTAGCAAACATAACCAAACATAGATGACATCAAAGTCATGCGAATATTGAACTTAAACAAACAACCAGCTAATCACAACGGAGGCGCTAGTCTGCCTATAATGATGTAGGGTTTACTTGTTTTTATCGACGTCAACAGTCTTTGAGCACAGTTTAGTACAACTAAACTAGGAGATCTTGCTGTTTCTCAGATTTAGATTCCCTCTCATTCGCAGCAGCGAGCCTACGGGCGGAGGCTACCTGACTATAACCCCAGAAAAAATTAGTAGCATTTTTGAAAGGACAACGCGACACACACAAAAAATGCTTGTAGAAGATATGCAGAAGCATATTTAGTGCAGGTAACCGGAAGACTCCAAATCAACAATGGTTGAATGCCGAATGAATGCGGACTGCATCTGGAATCATTTCTTAAGGTCAATCTCTCACCGAGATAAACTGGCTGATCCCAAACTAACATTATAAAAGAAATCAAAAATTATCTACAGGATAGTATCTATATGTAAAAATGCTATTGTGGTAAGTGTAGTGGCCGGAATAACATTTGTTACGATAGCTGGGCCAATTCCTTAACCACTGCCTTGTGGAAAATTTGCAAATACATCACCGGTCTCTGTGGGCCGCTTTTCTAGAATTTCGGAGATGAAAGAAGGGTTTTATTGTACCAGGCTCACAGCTTCACAAAATCATGAATAATCTGCAAAATTGTGGATACCGAAAACCAAATAATTATGTATAGTTGCTGATAATTTTTTTAAGTTAAGCATAGTTTGAGAGATTGGCATAGTTTAGACTTATTAACTGAGATCTTGCACGAATTGTGTTCGCAGAAACACTTTTTTGGCACATTGAACGCGCAGTAAAACCAAAAACAAAGACAAATGCTAATATCGACGATTTTTGAGCTCTTGTGAATTAATTTTGACACAGAAAATGTGCACAATGTTTTTGTTAATAACTCTCTGCTTTAATGTTTTTTTGCCGATCATTTGGTATTTCTGTAGAGCAAGCATCAACTTACATTCACGTATGGAGCAAATTTCCGATCTCTCGTCGTTACTGTAGATTTACGGTAGGAACTTCCAGTATATAGAACCCTTGTGAAGCAGACCGTCTGGCAATTATTTTTTTCAAATCTGTAAAATTGTATACCAAGGTTCACGCATGCTCATTTCAATACAACTTTTTGCGAATGTTTTCAGCCTTTCTGACGGCGTAATCGCATTTCTGACGAACCTATGAAAAAAGGACCACATGAACTGGAAACTTCATGATCTAAATCGGCGAGTTCGATTAGCCTAGTATAAGAGTTTTTGGCTTGTTTGCTTTTGATTCTGATGCAAAATACAATGGCCTAGAATCCACGTCGAAGTTCTCACCGTAATCGAGAGGCCTCAAAGCTCATTGCTAATTAAGAAGGATCCAAAGCTCTCTGCTTGAGAGGACAACTCTGATGACACACAGTCTCAGAAATTGGTGAATTTTTGAATTTTTACCTATGGAATCTGGTCAGAGGGAGAGTTTCATTCATTATTCTGGCTGTGAATGGGAACTTGAAAGAAAGTATGAGAAAGTTTTGCATCGTTCCATGAAGCTCACACTCTCATCAGAATCCCTGAAAAATCACAAGATTCTAAAGAATATCGAAAAAATATTATTGAGTAACTTACAATCATATTCTTCTCACGAAATGCGACATGCTCCTCGAAAAAATGCACGAGTAAATCTTTGGTCTATGGAAATACTCCAATGTCACTGCACTTCCTCTTTGTCCATGATTTTTTACACTAACAATCGAAGTATGATTCCCATTCTGTCTTGAACGTTCAGAAGAGTTTCAGGGAAATTTGCGTGACATCCACCATCTCAAGTAGCAAATCACACGAAGATACAATAGGAAAGATGGAAATAAGTGTGGATGTGAGAAAAATGGAGTGGAGTCCTGTGAGGTATCAAATTCACACAGATATTCATGCGTTTTGGGGTTAAACTGCATATTTTGGGGCGCACGGATAGAGAACATCGAAGAAATTTCAAAGCGTTTTAGAACCTCCCTATAAGCGCAAAATACTTGGTAATATATGCGGTCAATTAGAAATTAAGACTGAAGATGCTCAATGTTGCTTCTAAGCGTGTGTTATGAACTCACACTCACTTGTCAATAGACTCCACTCCATCATGGATCCTCCCCCCCCCCCCCTCTCCCGGCACACTCGTCGTGGCGAAACAAAAAATTATCCTGTTTGTGACTCATTTTGCACTTTCAGGCGTGAGACCCATAAAAACTCCCGCTTGCACTGAAACGTAGCACTAGACAATGAGAGTCTTGCTCCGCGTCTCTGACGTCTGTCTATTGCACAACGTTGACTAACAAACGCTATATTGAATGTTTCCCTCTATTTAAGACTCCAGGTATGTTGTTTTTAGCACAACCTTGGAAAATCCATTTATTTATGCTTTTCATAAGATCCTTTTTGGTGAATTACGGCAATTTTTTGCTCCTTGTCAACTTAATCCGAGGTTTCATGTCTTCTTCTTTGAATTTGATGCATTCATCCTCTAATATTATGCAAAATAGAATGTAAGCCACGAATATGTGCAAGTTTGTTAATATTTTGTGACTAGAAAGAAGTCAGGCATTTTTTGAAAGTTTGTCGAAGTAGATTTTACTGGACTAAAAATATAAAAGAAGCCATCAACGCAAAATGAAGGCTTAAAGACTGGCCAGGAGTAAATTTTCAGAATTCTTCCTAGCACACACTAATTTTCGTCTTGCTTATTCAAACTGCGAGTGATCGTTATTAAGCCCTTTCGATTTTCGCGTCTTATCACCTTAAGATTATCTCTTCAGTTTATCATCAAAAATCAAACTCTTCGTGCATTTCTAAATCATCCTAAACTACAAAACACCAAAGAACACTACAATCAGGGAAAAGTTTATGGAGTTAGCAAAACTTAAGTGCTAGATGCCGACTTGATAATTCACATCCTCGTACTATTTATTGTGATCTGCCTTTTTTAGATCCGTGAATATCATGTCGTGTTCCGACACCGAAGAGTATAACCTCATGTAAGTAAATGTTGCAATAACTTCCGCTCATAGACTTCCACATTTTGAATCACAGGTCTCAGAAGGGACGTTCCCCAAACTATGCGAAACAAAAGAGGCCTTATAAACATATCCGCAGTGAAATTTATATCACTAAGACGTTGTATGACCCAATGGGTACGATCAGCAAGGTAGCCTCTGAGTGAAATTATTCAATCCATCATTATTTTTGCATTTCCAGAATCGCCAAAGGAAAATCTTGGCAGATAGGTCGGACGGGTTTTGCTTTAATGTCCCCTATTCTATGAATAAAAAGGAGAGATGGGAGAAAGTAATCGCTCTGCATTGATGACACAACTTTATTTGAAATTATAGATTGATGGTACCACCGTTTTTAAAAATCGACAACAACCGTCAGCAGATGCTCTCGAGACCCTTGTAGTGGATAGAGCGGACGTGCCCTTTTCTGGTACAGTGTTTTTCATTTCCTGTGTTAGTTGCTTTTTCTTGTATATTCCTACAGATGACGGTCACGGCAATACGATCAAAAGCATCAGACTGATCCAGAATGATGGCATAGCTACATTGGCCAGTGGAGGAAGAGGGAAGACGGTACGTTCGATATGATTTCAAGGTCATCAGTAGATCACTATTTAAATGACCTCAGTATCCATCTTTTTTTGCACTTGCAGCTCAGCCACTTCAATAATCAAATCAGGGATCTGAGGCACATGGACAAAAGAGAAGTAGATCCTGCAAGGCTCCTGTTCAATTTTTGTGCTGCCAATCAATATCCTGCACAGCAAAAGAAAAGAAAGTCGAAACAAAGTTGGTTAAGTTTTGTAGTTTTTGCTAGCATACTCTGCTAGTATTTAGGAAAACGACGAAGAGCTTTCCAAAAGAGTTCTTGGAGCGATTACGGGGGTTACGAGGAGCTAGAAACTTTTGGTAAGATTTATGTAGCAATTTTGTTCTTACTATCTTTCTCAATTCAATGTCTTGAATTTCATCAAGTCCTTTGTCTCTAATATAGGACTTAACATATATATTGACACCT